GAGATCTTCACCAGGAGCCTTGTTAGGCTTCAGAGTCTGTATAAGACCTCTGATCTCCCGCTCCGTCACTGAGGGCCCGAATGGAAGAAAGCTGCAATCCTTCTGTGCTATATTTTGTGTATCTGCCATTCCATTACCATTTGGGGCTATGAAAAGTTGACTATAATATTCCTCCCAAGGAGGCAGATATTGGAATATCCAAGGAAAACATACATTCCTTCAGTATTCCTGTGACTGAATGCCAGAAAAAGACTGGGTGTGTATTTTTGGCAGCTAATTCTAGCTTTAGCCAAAGTGAGGATAGATAGAGAGATTTTTTTGCTCTTGATGGTTTTCTTGTATTTTTGTCTGAGTGCTAACATGGCAGTATGATTGTTATTTGAGAGTTGAGTCCGTGCAACCCACATAGCTTGTCTTAATCTTTTTCCCTGTACATAACACTCTGTATCAAACCAATGAGGGCCTTTTCTTGGGGGCCTTTTGGGGCGGGCCCCATCAGTTAAGAATGTTCTTAGGCCTTCACTTAAATTTTGATAAGCTGCAAAAATGGCAAATGTCTCAGAGTCTGGTGCAGCAACAGTGTCTACAAATGACTGTGTTTGGGTAGAATTCAAATAATCAGTTAGGACCTTTGCATCACCTCAGGCCCATTTTATTCTTCTGGCCTGATGGACCTCTAAATGGTGTAAAACTCATCTGTCTTTTTCAGTGTGGGGTCTAAGATCTGAATGCCCACAAAATTTTACAGTAACCAGTTGGTGATCACTATCCTCTCTTTCGTATGCCTGGATTTCTGAGAAAAGGGATACTTTGCTGTTTGAGATGCATATATAGTCTAATGTGCTGCTTGATTTCACTCGATGATAAGTATAGGGGTAAACAAAACTATGGTCCTTACCCCTAACACTTGCAAATTACCTTTAAACAGGTCTCTCAAGTGACACAGCCATAAAAGCACCAGGCTGCAGGAGGGAGGGCAAGCCAATAGAAAGTCTTTTGTTTTATATGCGGGGTTCCTAGATTTTAGTCCAAGTAGTGACCCACAGCAGAAATTACTGTTAGGTACAATCAGGAGTCTGGCTGCTGCACTATTCAGCCAATCCTGCTGACCTATCCAATCCCTGTCTCTGTTTCCCCTGTTGCCTTATAGAGCCAGTCTAACGTCATCCTTTCAGGTCTCCTCCTGGCCAAGAGTGCCCCAAAGAGACTCAGAACACCACTCATCCCACTTACGTACTCCAGAAGTACAAAGAAAATATGTCATAGGGGCTGCTCCTGAGCCTGTCAGGCTTCCTGTCCATTCCACACTGTCCCAGAGTGATTTTATTATTTGGATATTTTTAGTTTAGTTTATTTGTGTTCAAAGGTAAGTATAGTATCTTTCTTAGCAATTGATTTGGATATAGAAATTTAACTTAGATGTAGCGAAGAGAGTAGAAGAAAACATACACGATAGCTTCAGCAGTTGTAGATTACAACGTAATTGTCCCCTTCTTCTTCCCTTTATAAAATACTCAGGTAAAAGCTCGTACGACTGAAGATGTACCTAAAGGAAACATTGAACTGTTTGTTATTAATGATGGAGCCAGAGAAGTTAAAGTGAAATGGTTTCCTCTGCATGAACCCAATGGGCAGATAATGTATGTTGTTCTTTTTACTGGAATCTTCTATGCTGACAAAGGTATTTCCATTTTGATACATTACTGGAGAACTTATAATGTTGTTTTGTTTGCTTCTTGATTTTTACAGAATAAGTGTCTTATGAAAACATGAATCTGATATTGCTTCAATCTGCAGTATGGAAACACACAAAAAGCAAAGGAATTGTTTTAAAATAAAAAGTAAAAATATTGATTTTGATGGAGCTTGGAGTATAGAACTATAAAATATGGTGTTTGGTCTTCAGCAAAGGTTCATAAAACTCTAGCTAAGTGAGTTCTGCTAAAACTGTTGGTTCAGACTATGGTTCAGACTACAAGGTATAGTCTATCTTGGGAGGAATCTCCTTTCTAGTAGAACTGTTTAGTAATCTGAATTAATCTCTGTGCATTTCTGTATTGAATTAGATCTGTCTACTAGAAATAAGAGCTTAACTTACTCATAACTAAGTTAAATTGATTATAATGGGCCTATTTAAATCATATCTTTATCTCAACTTTAGGCCTTATTATATTTATTTGTTTATTTAATTCAATTTTGAGGCCGCCTGACCCCTTAACAACTCTGGGCAATTTACAATTATATCAAAGTAGTGCTCCTATTTAATCCTGCATAGTGCCATGAATAAATTAATTTCCCAGTAAAGGAGATTTCCATCTAACTCTAGAATTTGCTCCTTAGATTGATCGTTTTGCACTGGTGTTTTGAATGGAGCTCACCACCTTAAGTCATAGCAACATATTAAAAGTAAGATACCACAATAGGAAATTAGTCCACAAGCTGCCAATACAGACAGCTGGCATTAACACAGATATTTTCTTTCTAGATTGTTTTTGTCAAATTATTTGGCTAAAATTTGTGAATAATTTTTAAAGAGAGAAATTCTGCTTTTATCTCTGTAACAAACATAGGGAGAAAACATCTTTGAACCTCATGTAAGAAGACTGATTAGAGGTCTGAATCCAGCTTCTGCAAAAACTATTTCTTATTAAGCCACTATTATTTTACTGAATAATTTCAGGGGAATAAACATTTTCTGACAGCTTGTTGGATTGGGGCTTGCCATTATTTGTTTTATTTTTTTACCCCAATATTTTTTTTTTCCCTTTTGGTCCCCAGAAACTATGTTGGCAGGCCAGCCACTATTTTTCATCCTTGTCAGATGAAAGAAGAATCATGGGGG